CCTAAAGAGCGAATTTGTGTTTGGATTTCTTGTCTTCAGTTTGAGTAAAAAGCTAAATTTGGCTGTGCAGTGTGTCATTATGAGTTGTTTACCTGTTCCCTGTAGTCAGCTCAGACTGTGTTTCCAGAAGTCGCTCACCGCCACTGACTCTCTCTGTGCGATCAGCTGTGTCTCAACTACTCTGGGGTTTTCATTAGCAGTTTTCTGCTGTTCCCATGTCATTCTATGCAACTCTTAGATGCTGATGTTGACAGACCGGATCTGAGAACAATTGGGATAACGACTCCCTAATAGACATTACTGTGGCATCTCACTGTACTTGTCTCTGTGTCCCTGTAGGAGATTTTTCCAGACAGCTCACTTCTATGTGGAGGAGAGCAGCTCTCCACGAGTGGTGGCCAATGAGAATATACCAGTCATCCCTATACCAGGTAAGCTGTATTTCCTCCATAATATTAGAATGTTCAGAGATGTGATGTTCAAGTATCCTTAAGATTCACTTTTTTTTTGCAGTTTTCTAGATCATTGATTCCCAACCAAGGGTACTTACATTATATGGTACTTGTGTTCCTCAGGGAGTATTCTAATGTTTAAACAGTTCAAAGATTTAAAGTAATGGATAAATGGTGAAACAGCTAAATTAATGGATGGACAGTGGTTTAATGGTGCATGGTTGAAATAAATGGTAGTGTTGAGTACTTGAGTTCATTTGACAGGATTGTGAAATAAATTTGTATTATTTAACCCTTTAAAGACTGAAACTGAGTACTAAAAAATCCCAGAAATGAGAAAGGAATCTTGACTGGCTGTAAAGTGTTTATACAGAACATATCCACAAGCCACCGTTAACTGTTTTCAAATGGTTTTCTCTTTCACCTTAATGTCTGCATTTGCACATTTTCTGTTGATTTACATCTGAAATGACTCTGGGAGCACCTCTGTAGAAACTGTGTGACTGGCTTTAATGTTCCAGGCAGCAGAACAGTGGCAGCTAGTCGATATCAGACTTTACTTTTCACAGTCGCTTAAAGCTCTGTGATTTTTCAAGTCTGTGATATCATAGTTAAAGAGTACAGCTGATGCTGGTATCGACTTCACATTCATTAGGGTTTTATTGCTTGTCTTTTTCTTCCTTTATCCTTTTCTTTCTGTCCTGTCCTTCTACTCTCTTAGAAACTATGGCAATTTCCTTACAGCACATATATTCCGAATGACCGATCATGTACTTGATTTAAGTTGACATTGTGCAAGAAAATGAAATTCATTGAAGAGTGACTTTATGGTGACTTTTATGCTCAGAATTAGCATTGCTGATTTCTTGTAGACATTTTAGTGTCTGAAGTGGAAAATGACAGAATGAGATTAAAAGTATTTATACTACACATGATGCTGTGGGACATGCAAGCATACATGTGAACATACCTCTGCACAGTTTTATATCCTGTCAAAAAGAATTGGGCTTTATCAGTTGTCCTGCATTTCAGTTTCTTGCTCCTAAGGCTACGTTTCACCCAGAACCCTTCTGATGAACTGATTAGACTGATGTCTCTTGACACTACTACAGGGGAGGAAAGACATTTTGATAAATGAACATATTAACTAACCAGAATTCACCTTTATGCTGTAACCACTGAGGCAAGTAAGAGCCCTAAAGGCCCCAGCTGCGAGGGTGCATTAGTTAAGACATTGGCCAGTATCAGCAGCGATGACAGCTGGGGCCACTGCACTATTGTCCCAATGTGATGGTAACCAGTCTTATCTAAGATCCCTCATGTGTGATTTGGGGCTGCTTTGGCTCAGATGAGACAGATGCTCCCTCATATAAATGCTCAAAATATCAACTCTAGACATTTGTGATAGATCTGTTAAAGTAACACAAAACTGGCTTTTATTTTCTAATCTAATCATTTTCATGTAGAAATGGACTGATTTTGACGTCAGAAAACTATACATTTGCTGCACAAATTACATTGATATCAATGTGTGTACTGCATTGTACCAACACACTCACAGAATACATAGTGGCTATTAATAAACCCCAATAATGCACTATGAACCACATACACTGCTAACTGTTCTGTGTCTTCTTCTGCAGATGACATGGAGGCCATCCCCGTTAAGCACTTTATTAAACACATCATGGAGCTCTACAAGAACAACCTGCAAGGTTTCTCTGAGGAATTTGAGGTATACTGTCAACGGCACTTCAATTGATGCATTGTTAATCTTTTACATTCTCGATGGGTTTAGTTAGTTTAGTTAGTTAGTCCTCCATACAAAGAGGAAGAAAAGAGATATAAGGGATATGTTGTTGCCTTTTTATTGCTGCTTGACCTATTACAAACTAAAAAGTGGAGTAAACCTGAATCCTGCATCATCAGCATTACATGGACCCACACAGAGAAATCAAATTCAGGTGACAGAAAGTCTTGCAGCACCTTAGGGCACCTTAATAATAACTAATAAATAATTGATAATGAGCATTTTCATAAATAGTCAAGTCAAGTCAACTTTATTGCCAAGTATGCTATACATGCACGACACATACAGCATAGATGAAATTTCAGTCCTCCCGGACCCACGGTGCAAACAGGCAATAAAAAATAAAAAAATTCTATATTCTAAATAGTGATGAATGGGTAGAAACATGACAAATATTAGCACAGTATTATGGGGATTAGTTACTGTGTGGTTGCTATATGTCACCCACTTTTTATTGGTAAATACACAAAATCACTACTCATACAGATCTGTTAAACATTTGCTTCATGGCTGCTCATATTTAACAGATTGATTTATTAGTAGTTTAGCTTTTGATTTTCTGATCTAAAATGTTCTGTTTACAATCATAAGTGTGTTGTATTCTGTTCATAAGTGTGTTGTATTCTGTTCTCTTGTTCTGCTTTCACAACACAAACAAACCTCACCCCATGCTACTTGGAGACAAACCCAGACCCTCTTTTTAAAGCAGTCTTGGTCTAGTTGTTTGTTTTGGTTATTTTAGTCTGGCATGAAACCTATAATTGGAACTTAGTGTGGACCAAACGCATAAGAGTTTGTCTGAACTGAACCAAAAAGGGGAGTAGGGAAGCACTGATTTATTGGTAATAAGATGGCATTCACCGATGTCAGGGGCTGATGTTTATTTGTTGTGTTGCAATGGCTAAATGTTGTGTTGGTTATTTCCAGCTCAGAAATTGGAGAAATAATCACCTCCGTTTTCCAGCACAGGCACAAATTGCACGCAAATACCGATGTGCTCCCTACAGGTTAGGTCGTTAAGCCTCCTAAGACTGCAAAATATATAAAAGTACATTTGTCTTTTTTTTTCTTGAGATAAATAAGTACTGATAGCCTATTCAGCACAGTTCATCTCCCCCTCTACTGTGTACATGTTGTCTACAAATGGGTCTGAACAGTGGTTAAAGATTGTTTTATGCATGTGTTTGTGTGAAGGGTTGGTAATTCTGAGCAGATGGTTGAGAAAAAGAAGGAGAGAAAGATCAAGAGAGACGGAGGTTAATTAGGGAAGGTCTGTCTGCTGGTTGACTGGATGAGAACACATTCTCTGTGTAACCAGGTTAAGAATCGAGGCAAAAGCTTCACCCCTCGAGGATTCCTTCTAATTGGGGTCATTTGATGGTGAAGCTTGTGTGCATAATTTTCAAATGCATCGCAATGAAGCTGTGTTGGAAATGATTGTTGTATTTAGGGGTGGGCGAGCGCAGTGTGGCGTACTGTAGTGAAGAAGAGGGGGAAGAAGAAGGCTGTCCTACTGGAGGCCTGAGTTCAAGCCCCAGTGGCAGTAAGCATCTGTTCTGCTGAAGTGTCCTTGACTGAGACACTGAATCCCTGTAAGAGGTTCTGCTTTGCAGTTTATCCTGAAAGTTTGAAAAGAAAAGGAAATGTTCCCTTTTAAAAAACCAATAGTACCATAAAAAAATAATAAATAATAATAAATCTACAAAAGCACCCACAGTTTAAGTAAATAGAACTATAATAATGTCATACCATTACATCCTCTTCTCTCCTCGTTTAATAAAAATCCATCTGCCTATTTTTTTGTCTCACTCCAGGAGGTCCAACGCTCCACAGCAGACCTGAAAATCACAGCAGAACATTCCAATCATCCTGACAACAAGCACAAAAACAGATACATCAATATTGTGGCCTGTGAGTCAGCTATAAAATCTGATTATGATGTCTACTGCTGAGGAATCTAATAATGTTTTTATAACATGTTTTCATCCTTTTAATAATTTACACAAATATGTCGATGCGTTCCCTAGATGACCACAGCAGGGTGAAATTACGAGCTCTGGCAGGGAAAGATGCCAAACATTCGGATTACATCAATGCTAACTATGTGGATGTGAGTTTTACCAACCTCTTGACATGTTTTTGTTTTTTTGTTGTTCCTGCAGGTCCTGGTTTGGTTTTCTTTTTTTTATGTTTGAAAGATTGTAAATGAAACTGTCTTGAATGAAACAAAATAATTATTAATAGTGCTCATTGCCATGCTGACACCTTTTTAAAACCATAATTTAGTTATCAAAATCATAAAACTTACAGAGAAATGACCATTTGGTATCTATTTTAATTACAATTTCTGTCAGCTGAAGGATTGGATTTCATGACCTCCCAATGTTTTGTGTCAGTAAACCAGTCGTATCAGTTGTATCAGGGGTTGTGGGTAATTTATACATTATTGTACAATATTTACAATCATTATTGATTGTAAATATATTTCTCTACTGTTTCAGGGCTACAACCGGCCCAGAGCTTATATAGCTGCTCAGGGTCCTCTCAAGTCTACATTTGAGGACTTTTGGAGGATGGTTTGGGAGCAGAATACTGGAATCATCATCATGATTACCAATCTGGTGGAGAAAGGCAGAGTATGTTCACTTGAATCATTTACAGAAATATAAAATATACCAAATCATAAACAAATCCCTCACAGAGATGATTGTACTGACGTGGTGTATCTTTCATTGTGTCTGTTGTGTCCTTACAGCGAAAATGTGACCAGTACTGGCCGACAGAGAACAGCGAGCAGTATGGAAACATTGTGGTGACACTGAAAAGCACCAAAGTGCACGCCTGCTACACACTGCGGCGTTTCCTTATAAGAAACACTAAAGTTAAAAAGGTAACTCAGAGCCTCTTGCTGTAATAAGCTTTATTGTCACTGGTGAATTCTTCCACCAGCTGAGTTTGAGCATAAAGCCCTCTTAAAGTTCTTAGTAACTACAAACTAGTGATTTACTAAATTGGGCATTTGTATATTGGTTGCTAGGAAACATCAGAAATACCGTCCAATCAAAAGCAATCAACTAAATAACAGAAAGTCACTGTAGCATAACTCCTAAAAACAGCAGCTTAAGTGGCCAAGTGATATATTTATCATACCTGCTAATCCTGTGTAGGAGTGACTTTATTTTATTTATATGTGTGCTCAGAGTTAGTGGTAGGAAGGTAAGTTAAGGTTAGATAAGAGTTATTTTTGTGGTATGTAATTAAAATCTTCTCTCATGTTCTAGGGCCAGAAGGGGAACCCAAAAGGGAAGCTAAATGAGCGCATTGTGGTCCAGTATCACTACACTCAGTGGCCTGACATGGGAGTACCAGAGTACACCCTCCCTGTCCTCACCTTCATCAACCGCTCATCAGCAGCTCGTACTGCAGACATGGGCCCCGTCCTGGTGCACTGCAGGTACAGTACTTATTACCGAGTTCCCGGGCTAAATGAGTGTTACTTATGAGATTCTCATATTTGCTGATTTGGTTTATAGCTCCCTCTATGGGCCTGCCATTATGCTCATATTGCTTTGTGCTCTGCTCCTCAGTGCAGGGGTTGGGCGCACAGGAACATACATTGTCATTGACAGCATGCTACAGCAGATCAAGGACAAAAGCACAGTCAGCGTCCTGGATTTTCTCAAACATATCCGCACACAACGCAACTACCTAGTTCAGACTGAGGTAAGAAACAAGAAAACCTCCCTTATGTTGTACATTATTTCAATCAATCAAATCAAATCTTTAATCTGATGTTTCTTTTTCGCTTTGTCAACTGTTTCCTTTTCTTGGTTTCTCTCATGGAGACCCAATGTGTTCAAAATTTAAAAAAAAAAAAAAAAAAAACATTGAAATAAGACATAGAGATAAAATATATAATAAAATAATTAGATTGTGAAATAATCCAATAAAACTTGAAATGCACGGTTCGTACAGTGTTGAGGTACTTGTACTTATGTAAGTTTTTCCATTTTATGCTACTCCATACGTCTACTCCACTACATTTTGGAGGTAGATATTGTACTTTTTACTACACTACATAAATGCAGCAGCAATATAATACATATGATTCTGAAATGGGCCATTCTGCATAATGAGTTCTTTCTTTTGGTAGTATATATTGATATTTGTATATGTACTTTGACTTGAGTACAATTTTATGTGCATGACTTTTACTTGTAACAGAGTATTTTTATGCTGTTAGGGCTTTTCTATTGGGAATTTTGGCCATGCCAAGTCGAATCATGCCACGATGATTTGCATTTCTATTACCAGTTTAAATGCAACGTTTTTTGCCAAACCACGCCCAGCTAACTCTGGCCCCTCTCTTCATTCAATCATTGCTCTCTGCCTGTAAAGAGACACCTTCAAGCGGTCAGCCCTGTTGTAATGGAAATGCAAATCCCTGCTGCGCTGCACTAATGCGCCAGTCAAGCCAAGACAGCACACGAATGGAAAAAGGCTATGTGATATTGATATTGCTACATTTACTTTTTAGTAAAAGAAAAGTACTTCTTCCACCACTGATTGCAGCTCTTTATTTCAATTGTTTTTCAATGTCTGTTTTTATGTCGCAATGCCATTTTTCTTCATGCCCCTTTTATTTCCTTTTATTATTATTATTTCCCAAACCTTTAATGTCTGTCTTCCCTCAGGAGCAGTATGTTTTCATCCACGATGCTCTGATGGAGGACATCCTGAGCACAGAGACAGAGGTGCCTGCCTGGCAGCTGCACAGCTATGTCAACAGCATCCTCACGCCCAACTCGACAGGCCGCACACAGCTGGAGAAGCAGTTCAGGGTGAGTAAACCTTCTGGGAGTTTGACTGGTCCGGTTAGACGTGCTGTCACCGTCGGCAGTTATCGAGGAGGTCTTTGGATCAGAAGCTTGTTAGTTCAGCGTGCATGGTGACTTTTCATTTGCAGGCGGGTTTAGTTGGAGAGTGTCTCTGATGTTGGCTGTAATAAAGTCATGTCTGTCACCCCTGCTGTCTCATGCAAAGCCTGATGAATGTTTCATCAAGCTCCTGCTCTCTCGACATCAGGAGAGAGAAACTAATTGCCCACACATAATGTCACTTCCTCTTGAGCTTCACATGCTCATTATTATTGTGTGAAAATTGATGCTAGTCTTGGGTGTTAAACAACAATATATCTTTATTTTTCATGTTTTGACTTAAACTCACAGGGACTAACATGTGATCTTCTGGTCTTTGCCTTCTCTCACCCCAGCTTCTGACTCAGTGCAACTCACGCTTTGTGGAGTGCTTCAGTGCCCACAAAGACAGCAACAAGGAGAAGAACCGCAATTCCTCAGTGGTTCCCTGTAAGTATCTTATCTGTTTTACCACAGCACACTTGCAGTGGTGCTTAGGTCTTGGAGAACCAAAGCTCTGTCGAACATGTAAAGCAGCTGCATTCAGGGGTGTGAGGAGGGCTGGTTATTGCGGCTTTACACAGAGAGTAACAGGGGAGGCTCTCTTAAAAGGAGTCATACAGCAATAATATGTTTAAATTTGAAGGATACATTTACATTTTGACACAATTAAAAAGCATTTTTTTCACAAATTCAATCAATCTATTCTCTGTTGGTAACTTTTCCTTCCTTTTTTAAAATAACAGGAAATAAAGCTCTGACTCAAAGCATTACCTCATTTAATATTCTACATTTTCCTGTTTTTTTTCATATTCCAAAATTAGAATCTATTTCCATAATCCTATAAGTTAATCTTTCTATGTGTTCCCTGCACTCTCATGGGGGAGGAGAGGAGTATCTGTTGCTATAGCAACAGAGAGGACTGGTAATGAATGTGTGCATTATCAGCGAGTGTGATATTACAGAGGCCTGGGTGTGCGATTTTAAAGTGTGTTTTTTCCATCTTTCTGCCTCTCCACAGCGGAGCGAGCAAGGGTCGGACTCACCACTCTGCCTGGAATGAAAGGAACAGATTACATTAATGCATCCTACATAATGGTACGGTGTGATAGTCAGGCTCACTGGGTATTTTGAGGAACTTTATTGACAGGTCTGACGTTCTTGATTACAGTTTCTTAGAAAAATGATCACTAGTCAACTTTCGTAATCATCCATCTGTTTATGAGCTTTAGAGAGGCTAACTGCTCACCTCTTGTCACCTCAGGGTTACTTCAGGAGTAATGAATTCATCATTACCCAGCATCCTTTACCCCACACCACTACAGATTTCTGGAGGATGATTTGGGACCATAATGCTCAAATTATCGTCATGCTGCCTGACAACCAGGGCCTGGTAAGTAACCCTGAAACATAATAATGATCTTGTGATTATTTTCCCTCTGTTTTATGTCTAATTTAGGGGCAATCTGCATCCAGTCTACATACAGACAGGAAGCGTAACCACGGATAAATCAATAAAATGAAGAACTTCTGCTAGAGTTAATGAATAAATGTAAATGCAGCATACCTTGTTTGACTTGCCGTTGCTTCTCTGCAGGCTGAGGATGAATTTGTTTACTGGCCGAGTCGAGAAGAGGCCATGAACTGCATTGCCTTCACTGTCACACTCATCAGTAAGGACAGACTGTGCCTCTCCAATGAGGAGCAGATCATCATCCACGACTTCATCCTTGAGGCCACACAGGTACCTGAAGCTCTGCCTCGTTACATGTACCATACTCGGTGTTTGATTATTGTGACGTGACGCATCGCAAGTCAGGGAATTCTTGGTGTTTGATTTTTTTGATTTGTACAATCCTAAAGAGGAATTACATTATATATGTCATGTGTGTTTGTTTCACTCCCTTTCTGTGTGCGACAGGATGACTACGTTCTAGAGGTGAGACATTTTCAGTGCCCTAAATGGCCCAACCCCGATGCCCCTCTCAGCAGCACCTTCGAGCTCATCAGTGTCATCAAAGAGGAGGCCATGACTCGAGATGGCCCCACCATCGTGCACGATGAGTACGTTTGTCTTGCCACTATGTTATCCTCTGTTAACAGAGAAAGTCTATTTGTAAGGGCAAACACACGATTTTATCCACGGTTTTCAAGTTAGAGATCATAAAGAAATCTGTTTTCATCACGGTTCAGTTTATTCCCCCCTGATATCCAGTCATAAACTAGTCCAGGACTCTGTAGAATAAGATATATTTGATTTTTACCACATTGCTGGTCTTGCTTATTGTCTTTTGTGTACACAAACAGACAAAAGGCTGCATCTGGATTTTAAGGGTTTAGAAGTAGCAAAAGAATGCTGAGACTGTTTAGTTACCTTTTGATTTGTTCTTGTTGCACTAGCCAGTGAATGTGGAGACTTTTCCATGGCTTGGGGTTTGAAAGGCTGTTAGCGTACACTGGCACTGAGAACCTACAGGCAGCTAACACAATAAACAAAAACACCACTCTAAAGTCTCTAACCAGGCAACCATAATAACCTGTACAGTTGTTCCCAGCTGACGTCTTTCCTTCAGACCCCTGCCCGTCAGCACCTCGGCTGATATCAGTGAAAACATCAGCTAATTGATAATCAATCACACCTCCTCCCTCATTTACTTATAAAGCTGTATCTGAAGTTGTCACAGAGGGGCCAATCTGTCCCCTCACCCATCTACACCAGATTCTAACATGATGGGATGCTAATTGCCAACAATGTGGAAATAGATACATCACACATTTTATCCTTTCATTTTCTGTAATGTGTTTTATTTTGGCAGTTACTTGTTGGTTGCAGAGGAGTGCACATATGTTAAGAACTTCACAGTCTACAGTTAATTAAGGTGTTGATAAGGCCCTAGCATTAAAACTAGCAACCCTACACATTGTCATTTGTAATAGAGTTAAATTAAGGATTTTGGACATCTGACGTTGACAGTTGTCACGCAGAGCTGATTTTGAACATTTGCACACAGGTATGGCGCAGTGTCAGCAGGCATGTTCTGTGCTCTCACCACACTATCCCAGCAGCTGGAGAATGAAGGTGTCGTCGACATCTACCAGGTGGCTAAGATGATCAATCTCATGAGGCCGGGAGTCTTCACTGATATAGTAAGTCCACTTTTATGTCAGATACATACGTTCCTCTCAGCTAGTCCTCATTTCCAGCAGCTGCAGGCAGCTTTTTCAGAAAAAACAAAAACAACAAATGATAAATAAATGCCCTGTTTACTACCTGCCCAGCAGACGGACACACTAAGTGTCGCTAACACCCGCGAGACATAACAACACTCACGCTGCTGAGTTAAAACTCATTTTGAGCAGAAAAAAGGATTGTCACAATGCCAGGTGAAACCACTGTAGAGAGAGGGAAAACAAAACAGTGGAAAGCCAGCTCATTAAGTGACTGATGATCACCAGAAATCATTAGCAAAGGAATCACGAGCCAACAACTGCAAAGTTCTTCAAACCAAATCACAGCATTTTGTAAAAAAGCTCTCTATTTAAATGGGAGAAATTCACATGAAGTGTTTTTTGGGACTGTGATCTTCATTTAAAATTCCATATTGTGAACTATGAACGTGAGCTGTTTATTATAATCTGTGTGAACTGAACTTTGAGCTAGCTCTTATAAAGTGTGAACTTGCAATGGTTATGGCTGAGATGTTTGCAAACAAGCCCACTTTAACCAGTAGACACAACATTAGAATTCATCTGGAGTCCGATATTCAGCTCAGTTTTCAGTTTCCACCCACTCCTGACTGAAAAATCTGGGGCTTTAGCTGCTACATGCTCCACTATATTCACAAGTCACTTGGAAACTTTGTCTGTCTG